CCAATAGACCTTCTGTAGATGCTCCCGGACGCAGGTTCGAATCCTCGTCACGGCCCTTGTGGATTTGTTCTTCTGTAGTTTCCTTTGTTATATGTTCTTACATACGTCCATATATGGAGGTGTTAGGGGGTAAGAGTTAGCAAGTTGATCGATTGATGAAGATTAAGCCACCCAAGAGGTGGCACGGGCACGAATAGCCCGTAAATTAGCAAGTTAATGGTACAGTGTTTATAGAGTTGTGTGGATGAGGGTGGAGGCGAGGTGGGCGGTGTAGTGGAGCGTGCACCCTCCACCACTTGCTCTACCAGGTTAAGGGAGAACTGCCCCGCTGCCCGTCTTTGTCTTCCTCACGTCCTATCACTTTGTGTCGCAGTCTTTCTTACGCTTCTTATTAAGATGCATAATTCACTCACTTTACAAATACGTTGTTTAACCATAATTCACCTTCGAGTTTATCTTTAGGCTGCTACCGGATATCACTGGCACTGCGTACTGGTATCCGGTCAGAGCTCTTGAATGTTGTACTTGAATTGTATTTTCTCAGCCGTTCTCATCAGGTGACGAGCGTACAGCGTGTGTGGTGCTCCTATCGTACAGACGCTTGTGTGTGTACACCATCCACCTTCACGTGTCCAGCCTCACTCATTACTCCAGAAAATTTGTATGTTAGGCTTTTATATTTCATTAAAATACGCAGTTTTGTTGTATCCATAATGCACAGTTGTATGTATGGACAGCTTTTTATATACACATCAGCTCAGACTGTTAAAGAATTTTTTTGTTTACTTAAGAACAAAGGTAACTGCAGAAGGCCTATTGGCCCATACGAGGCAGCTCCTATCTATAACCACCCAATCCCACTCATATACATGTCCAACCCACGCTTGAAACAGTTACACAGGTCAAGCCTCACACTCGGCTGCGGAAAAATTATAAGCCTCTGAAACCAAATATATAATATCTATTGCAGAGACAATCCGCGCAACGTTGGGGTTTGTTGACTGACTGGGTCAGTTGCCCCATCAATGGACGTGATGGACCAATATAAGGTAGACTTGTATTATTAAATTTGGACAAACCGGAAATGTGTTCATGTTACTAATGCAACCTAAACTAACTTAACGTAATCATCCTGATCCCAATACACGATATTTGAGGCTGAATACAGTGCATATGTGCTATACTAGGCGTAGGAATATTTGTTTGGTGTTTATCTTTCCGGACCCTATCAAATGAATAGTACCAAATTCTACTTTCTATTTGTCCGTCACGTCGATATTGTGACGATCGGCCACATAGCTACAAAAAGTACAGCAGGAGGATGGGTTAAATTATATGTGGTGTTAGAAACGTTGTGCCTGGAATATCCACTTAATTAACTGTAGCTTAATCCTCACATATCCTCTGGTCCTCCTTACCTTACCTTGTTACCTTGAGGTTACCTTGAGATGATTTCGGTGCTTAGCGTCCCCGCGGCCCAGCCCTCGATCAGGTCTTCTCATTGCTGGACTGGTCAACCAGGCTGTTGGACGCGACTGCTCGCAGCCTGACGTATGAGTCACAGCCAGGTTTATCAGATATCTTTTGAAGGTGTTTATCAAGTTCTCTCTTGAACACTGCGAGGAGTCTGCCAGTTATGTCCTTTATGTGTAGTGGAAGCGTGTTGAACAGTCTCAGGCCTCTGATGTTGATAGTTCTCTCAGCGTACCTGTTGCACCTCTGCTTTTCAACGGGGGTATTCTGCACATCCTGCCATGCCTTGTGGTCTCATGTGATGTTATTTCTGTGTGCAGGTTTGGGACCAGCCCCTCTACTATTTCCTACGTGTAAATTATTATCTCTCTCCCGCCTGCGCTCAAGAGAATACAGATTCAGGCTTTTAGTCGATCCCAATAGTTTAGATGTTTTACCGAGTGGATTCTAGCAGTAAAGGATCTCTGGACGCTCTCCAGGTCAGCAATTTCTCCAGCTGTGAAAGGGGCTGTCATTGTGCAGCAGTACTCCACTCTAGAGAGCACTAGCGTCTTGAAGAGTATCATCGGTATAGCATCTCTAGTGTGAAAACGTCTTGCTATTCTCCCACTCAGTACGTCGTTTTTTAATGAGTCGACCAAACTATCAAATTGACGTTGTTGGAGTAAAACTAAAGCATCACAATGTTGACATTTTGAGAGTTATGGCCTTCAGATGTTTGGTGAGTTTCTTGGATTCGAATATTTCTAGTCGAGCAAAACCATTCCGTCTCTTAGTGTCAGAATGGGAAGATTGGGTATGAAGATTATGCACTATTCACGGCTCATTTTAATAGTCCTGAAGAGACTAGTATGTTTAGCTTGTAGCGATAAATCTGGAAAATGTGCAAGTTTCAAGGGGAAAACAACATGGGATAGGCGTTGAATTATAAGTCACGAATTACACTGGGCCCGTTTGTTGAGTACACACCACCACATAAATCCTCACCTGCACAAATGAACAAATCCACAAGGTCCGTGACGAGGATTCGAACCTACGTCCGAGGTTCGTCCGACGTCCGAGATTCGAACCTTACCTGCAATTTGGCACATGGGACCATTTCCACTTGGGTAGGAGAATGTGCCACGTGTATGTAGGGCAGCTTGATATTTAGGGACCAAGTGCCCCAAGTTAAGACAATTGGCTGCCACTTGGTAACGCGGGACTACTGCTGGTGGAGGAGGTTAGTGCTGGTGAACTCTCCAGTCTTTTGACACGCTGTGATAAAGGTAGTGCTTGTGTCTCCCTCACGGCGCCCCCTACACTACTGGTGCGGCTCACTAGCGTAGTTACCCCTCGCCAGTGAACAGTTAAGGCCACCGTCAATGCTCTCTATTACTGCTTAACACTTGCCCGCAAATTTTTAGACATATATGCCACGTGTCATAAAATTATATACACACACAATGTATACAAACATGTATAATTATGTATGTGTAGTATATATTATTGTGTGACAATGTGAAAACGTATGACCACGAAGGAAATTAAAACTTTACAAGAAAACGCTGCAGTTTTCTATTTCAAATCTGCTGAAGTAATGATACGTAAACTCACGGAAAAGAAATAAGATATTCCAAGCATGAAATATCTTGTTTCTGTTCTCCTGTGAGTGTATAAGTTTATGTACTACCTACGGGAGTAGGGGGGTGTACTCGTCTAGTTGTGCTTCCAGGGGTTGAGCTCTGGCTCTTTGGCCCCCACCTCTCAGCTGTCAGTCAACTGGTGTACAGATTCCTGAGCCTACTGGGCTCTATCATATCTACATTTGAAACTGTGTATGGAGTCATCTTCCACCACATCACTGCTTAATGTATTCCATCTGTTAACTACTCTGACACTGAAAACATTCTTTCTGATGTCTCTGTGGCTCATTAAGGTACTAAGTTTCCACTTTCGTGCCCCTGTTCGTGTCCCACCCGTGCTAAAGAGTTTGTCTTTGTCCACCCTGTCAATTCCCCTGAGAATTTTGTGGGTGGTTATCATGTCTCCCCTTACTCCTGTCTCCCAGGGACGTGAGGTTTTGTTTCCGTAAAGCTGTGTGTGTATTCACCTAGTTGTGCCTCCGGGGGTTGAGCTTTGGCTCGTTCGGCCCGCCTCTCAACTGTCAATCAACTGTTACTAAGTACTAACAAACCATTTTCAAGCGTGCGCGCGCATACCAAAAAGCAGCCCGGAACGGCTGTCTAACTCCTAGTTACCTATTTATTGCTAGGTAACAGAGGCATCAGAGTGAAAGAAACTCTGCCCATCCGTTTCCGCCGATGCCGGGAATCGAACCCCGGACCAAAGGACTACGTATCCAGCGTGCTGTCCACTCAGCTACCAGGGCCCCCACACACCCAGTGTGTGTGTGTGTTTTATTTATCATTTGTATTATTTGTTTCTGCAGAATTGAGCTATTTTCTCTTGGACCCCGCCTTTCTAACAATCTAATTTTCCTCTTCTTTATCTACTACATAACACACAGAAATCACAATAGCGTGATGCATCAAATGAACAAATTCACAAGGGCCGTGACGAGGATTCGAACCTACGTCCGAGAACATCCCAGACGCTGCCTTAATCAGCGTCCGATGCTCTCGGGCGTAGGTTCGAATCCCCGTCACGGCCCTTGTGGATTTGTTTATCTACTACATATATATGTGTGTGTGTGTGTACATAAACACACACACACACACACACCTGGATGAGATTCTGGGAGTTCTACTCCCCAAGCCCGTCCCGGGACCAGGCTTTGACTTAAGAGCTTGACCAGATCTGGATATGGATTTCCACCCTTCGTGTACACAAGGGGGGCATAACCAGCCCTTGTGGCTGGTTCAAACGGGAGATCAGGAGCATATTGGTCCAACAGGCTGTTGCTTGGAGCGGCCCTCAGGCCACATATTCTCTACATAGAGGTGCCAATGGCACAATCAGAGAGCACTGTCTTAATAAAATACTCCCTCCCTTTGCACATGTGGTTTGGGTACATGACAGGTACTGAATTTGACCTCGGTGAGATTGTGGTCAATACCTTAATTTATATTCTGCAGCATTAATCTCAATATTATGATTACTTGGGGGAAAATAGCAGTGTCACATCACTGTTTAACTAGCCACGTTTCCTTCGGCACTGTATTAGCTAAGCGTCACGCCTTGTGCCGCCAATTGTCTCTATTGAAACATTACTGTTGTTGTTGTTATAGATTCAGCTACTCGGAACAAGTTCCAAGTAGCACGGACTATGGTGAGCCCGTTGTGGACTTACCTGGCACAGGAGCGGTGCTGTGTGTGTCGCTGAGAGGCATTACTGATTTGATTGATTGATGAAGATTAAGCTACTCAAAAGGTGGCACGGGCATTAGGACCGTGAGAGGCACAACTTTACAGTGTTGATTTATAAAGTGTTGAATGTCAAGTGGTAATGAAGGCATAACAATTAGTGTGTTGTTGTTGTCAATAATGAGTGTGACGTCAATGAGTGGCATGTTATTGTGTTTCAGGTGGACTTGGAGCACCAGCGGGAGGTGGTGACGGCAGACGGGATGGCCCTGGCGCACATGTGGGGGTGCCCCTTCATCGAGGCCTCGGCCAAGAACAGGTGTAACGTCAACGAGGTTTTCGCCGAGATCGTTCGCGAAATGAACGTCAATCCCGGCAAGAAGGACACCGGCAACTACTGCTGCTGCGTCCTCCTCTAACAACCAGGTGAGTCCTCTCGTTTTTGTTGATTATTCATTACGGCTGGTCTGCGGGCCGCTCCAAGCAACAGCCTGGTGGACCGAACTCTCACAAGTCAAGCCTGGCCTCGGGCCGGGCTTGGGGAGTAGAACAACTCCCAGAACCCCATCAACCAGGTATCAACCTGGTCGGGTGATTCATTACGGTCGGGCGATTCTCGTAATGATTTGACGAGCTAGAAAACAAATCTGTATTGATTTAATTTGTAACTTAGGTTTAACCTATCAGTTTGTAAGATATACGTATATTTTATAATAGCCTTCATGAGTGGGTCAATATATCTGGTAAGTTTTAAAGTTATCTTTGTCAATTAAAAATGCGACAATCAGATCATTACCGTAACAGATAATAATATTACCACACTAATCAGCTCACTCACTCGCTAACATTTATTTCTTAAGACTGTTGTCAGAGGCGAGAATATGAATCATTACTCGTGTAATAATCAATGTCAACAATGTGCACTTGGGTCTGCTTAAGATCTTTTGGGTCCTCTTACATACACTGTAATTCCTTGTCCTCTGCCACCGCTCACAGGATGAACTTGAGGAGAACAATAAATTATATAGCCGCCAGGGTTCAGTTCCTGTGGCCATTATTTGCATCTTAACATTTTCCACAACCGCTCACAGGATGAGTATGGCGTGCATAATAAATTATTATTATCGAACGCCAGCACATTATTACAAAATCTCATTTACTCTACCATGAGCCCTGAAGTCCCCAGTTCCCCCTGCTTCACTCCATTTCCCCCTCCTTCACTCCATTTCCCCCCTCCTTCACTCCATTTCCCCCCTCTTTCACTCCATTTCCCCCCTCCTTCACTCCATTTCCCCCTCCTTCACTCCATTTCCCCCCCTCCTTCACTCCATTTCCCCCTCCTTCACTCCATTTCCCCCCTCCACTCCATTTCCCCCTTTAATCTTCCAACCCCCCCCCCATAACATCTCCATACCCCATCTGCCCTTTTATGGGAAAGAGTGAGAGGTCGAGGTGAAGCTGAATGTTGAAGTGATGTTGAATATCGTGCAAGTTGTTAGCAAGCGGCCTGTCCGCCTTGCTGACACATGTTTGTTTATTTGGTCGCTACTTTAGTAGGAAAGCGACATGTAAAGGATTTGGGAATAATGATGTCTGACGACCTAATGTTTAGGGAGCATAACCAAGTAAATATTGCGTCAGTCAGAAAAATTGTAGGATGGATTACGAGAACTTTTAAATCCAGGGATCCCATCACAATGGTTGTACTCTTCAAATCACTTGTGTTGTCCCGTTTTGAGTACTGCTCGCGTCTCACTCCCCCCCCCCCTCACGTCCCCCCTTCCCTTCAGAGCAGGAGAGATTGCTGAAACAGAGGGAGACATTAGAACATATACGGCATACATAGACGCGATAAAGGACCTAAATTATTGGGATCGTCTCAAAGCTCTCCAAATGTTCTCGCTTGAAAGAAGAAGGGAGAGATATCAAATAATATACAGGTGGAAAATACTGGAGAACCAGGTCCCAAATCTACACAGTAAAATAACATACTGGAGTGAACGATATGGAAGAAAATGTTAAGTAAAACTAGTGAAGAGCAGGGGTGCATAGGCACAATCAGAGAACACTGTATAAACATCAGAGGTCCACGCTTGTTCAACATCCTCCCAGCGAGTATAAGAAATATTGCCGGAACAACCGTGGACATCTTCAAGAGAAAATTTGATAGTTTTCTTCAAGGAGTGCCGGACCATCTGGGCTGTGGTGAATATGTGGGCCTGCGGGCCGCTCCAAGCAACAGCCTAGTGGACCAAACTCTCACAAGTGAAGCCTGGCCTCGGGCCAGGCTTGGGGAGTAGGACGACTCCCAGAACCCCATCAACCAGGTATCAAGCAAGCAATGTGTTGAAAAGTCTTGGGCCCTTGATGATAATAGTTCTGAGTACCTATTGCACCTCGACTCAACCTTTGTATGTCTGTCTGTCTGTCTGTCTGTCTGTCTCTGTCTGTCTGTCTGTCTGTCTGTCTGTCTGTCTGTCTGTCTGTCTGTCTGTCTGTCTGTCTGTCTGTCTGTCTGTCTGTCTTTCTCTTTCTTTCTTTCTCTTTCTTTATTTCTCTTTCTTTCTTTCTTTTTCTTTCTTTCTTTTTCTTTCTTTCTTTTTCTTTCTTTCTTTTTCTTTCTTTCTTTTTCTTTCTTTCTTTTTCTTTCTTTCTTTTTCTTTTCTTTTCTTTTTCTTTTTCTTTTTCTTTCTTTCTTTTTCTTTCTTTCTTTTTCTTTCTTTCTTTTTCTTTCTTTCTTTTTCTTTCTTTTCTTTTTCTTTCTTTCTTTTTCTTTCTTTCTTTTTCTTTCTTTCTTTTTCTTTCTTTCTTTTTCTTTCTTTCTTTTTCTTTCTTTTTCTTTCTTTCTTTTTCTTTCTTTCTTTTTCTTTCTTTCTTTTTCTTTCTTTCTTTTTCTTTCTTTCTTTTTCTTTCTTTCTTTTTCTTTCTTTCTTTTTCTTTCTTTCTTTTTCTTTCTTTCTTTTTCTTTCTTTCTTTTCTTTCTTTCTTTTTCTTTCTTTCTTTTTCTTTCTTTCTTTTTCTTTCTTTCTTTTTCTTTCTTTCTTTTTCTTTCTTTCTTTTTCTTTCTTTCTTTTTTTCTTTCTTTCTTTTTCTTTCTTTTTCTTTCTTTCTTTTTCTTTTTCTTTTTCTTTCTTTCTTTTTCTTTTTCTTTTTCTTTTTCTTTTTCTTTTTCTTTCTCTTTTCTTTCTTTTTCTTTTTCTTTCTTTCTTTCTTTCTTTTTCTTTCTTTCTTTTTCTTTCTTTTTCTTTCTTTTTCTTTCTTTTATATTTTCGGTTTTTCCGTGGCGCAGGAGGTGAAACTTGTGTTCATTAAACATTATATTATTATCTGCGGCCCATTGAAAGACCCGATTTACATCAGATTGGAAGTTTGTCGTGTCCTCTATATTGTCTCTTTTGTTGTGCAATATTATAATTTAAAAATGGATCAAGTTTGTACATACCAGTACTAACATTAAGATTTGGACACTGACTGATTAGAGCAGACTTAGTCGGTTTCCAAATCTTCTTAATGTTAGTACTGGTATGTACAAACTTGATCCATTTTTAAGTTATAATATTGCACAACAGTTTAAGAAAAAACTCTGATAGGGAGGCTTACAATGTCTCATTACAATTTTATATTCATATATTGTGTGTTCATGAGGTTTTTCTTTAATCTTTCATCCTTATTCTCTGACCGCTTAATCCTCTTTGAGTATTCTAAGCTGAGCTATACCTGTTTCTGGTTAATTCTTTCCCTAGAGATGGGTTAATCAGGTTCCAGGTGTTGGCGTGTACCCTCCCTCTCTTTCCTCTAGTCAGTCTGGTGCTGACAACAGCTTTAATCAGGCCGAAACGTTCACTTCCTTTCACATTTCTCTGTGGATTTTCCGTATACATATATATATAAATATATATATATATATATATATATATATATATATATATATATATATATATATATATATATATATATATATATATATATATGTCGTACGTAGTAGCCAGAATGCACTTCTCAGCCTACTATGCAAGGCCCGATTTGCCTAATAAGCCAAGTTTTACTGAATTGTTTTTCGACTACCTAACCTACCTAACCTAACCTAACTTTTTCGGCTACCTAACCTAACCTAACCTATAAAGTTAGGTTAGGTAGGGTTGGTTAGGTTCGGTCATATATCTACGTTAATTTTGACTCCAATAAAATAAAATTTACCTCATTCATAATGAAATGGGTAGCTTTATCATTTCATAAGAAACAAATTACAGAAAATATATTAATTAAGGAAAACTTGGCTTATTAGGCAAATCGGGCCTTGCATTGTAGGCTCAGAAGTGCGTTCTGGCTACTAGGTACGACATATATATATATATATATATATATATATATATATATATATATATATATATATATATAATATATAATATATAAAAATAACAATAATAATACACAAACAATATGCATATTACCGAAAATTCTGAGTGATAAACATGTACATTTCTGGATTGTCCGATCATATGGCGGACGGTGTTTTGCAATTTTTTTCAGCGTCATATTTTGCACTGTTTGTAATTTTCGTGTTAGTTTTCTTTAAGGAATGTAATGGTACTGGAGGATATTAGAGGTACGGCCGAACTAGAGCCTTGTGTAAATATACCTGTATGTTTGTGCTATTTTGCCTAAGCCTGAGGCTGTCTTTTGCTCTGTTTATTCTCCTCCCCCTCCTCACTCCTCCAAACTGGCACCCAGCCTACCGCCTAGCCATGCAGCCTACCACCCTGCCCACCCTACCTTGAGGCTACCTTGAGGTGCTTCCGGGGCTTAGTGTCCCCGCGGCCCGGTCGTCGACCAGGCCTCCTGGTTGCTGGACTGATCAACCAGGCTGTTAGACGCGGCTGCTCGCAGCCTGACGTATGAGTCACAGCCTGGTTGATCAGGTATCCTTTGGAGGTGCTTATCCAGTTCTCTCTTGAACACTGTGAGGGGTTTGCCAGTTATGCCCCTTATGTGTAGTGGAAGCGTGTTGAACAGTCTCGGGCCTCTGATGTTGATAGAGTTCTCTCTCAGAGTACCTGTTGCACCTCTGCTTTTCAACGGGGGTATTCTGCACATCCTGCCATGTCTTCTGGTCTCATGTGGTGTTATTTCTGTGTGCAGGTTTGGGACCAGCCCCTCAATTATTTTCCACGTGTAAATTATTATGTATCTCTCCCGCCTGCGCTCAAGGGAGTACAGATTTAGGCTCTTTAGTCGGTCCCAGTAATTTAGATGTTTTACTGAGTGGATTCTAGCAGTAAAGGATCTCTGCACGCTCTCTAGGTACCCGTATACACCCTGTCAACCATATAAAATCTAGTCCAAGTGCAGTGAAAAGCTCTGTACCTCAGGGTACAGTCCTTGCACCGCTGCTTTTCCTTATTCTCATATCAGATATAGACAAAAAT